TGCTGCTTTGAATCGTGCATCCACGATGTTTCAGAATCGATGAGGCTGCAGAGCTGTGATGTCACTTTTTTTAGATTTATTTTTAGGCTTTTTGTGCCTTTAATGGAGTGATAGGACAGTGGATAGAGTCGGAAATCAGGGAGAGAGAGATAGAGAGAGAGAGGGGAATGACATGCAGGAAAGAAGCCACGGGTGGGATTCGAACCTGGTCCGCCCACTTGGAGGACCATAGCCTCCATACATGGGGCGCACGCAACAACCACTGCGCCACCAGCGCCCTGTGATGTCACTTTTGAAAGACACAGAAGTGAGGAAAAACTGCCCTTGAGCACATCAAACATGAGACCCCTCCACTTCCAACAACGCTTAAAAACTGGTTAAAAAAAAGAAACAAGCGCCGTAAGCTCGCCAAAATGTAAACGGCTAATGTTAATCTTTTCCGAGTCATTTCAAACGCTTTCCTTTTCTTTACCCCATCAACTGTTCCAGCCTAATTACTCTTCACCTCATACTTTGTCTGTCCTGTCACTCTATTGTATGTGATTCATTGGATTTGTCCCACATCAATGAGCCGCCCCCCCCCCCCGATCCACAGTCTCTTGCATGAAATCAGGAAGAGGGGTGCAGGGGTGGGGAGGGGTCACCAGATCAGCTGATGCCTGTGGCTCTGAATCCAAAGATAATAACATCCTCGAAAATCAAGATGTCAACAATTAAAAAAAAAAAAGATATGCACTTTGAAGTACGAGGTTGAATCCAGCTAAAGACTCATAAATCACTATTTTACTTTGTCCTGTATCTTTTTAACCACTAACATAAACTCTATTAAACTGAATCATCTGTCTGTTCATTCGCCCACTGCCTCTCTATAAAGACCTTGGGAGCCGTCGTCTGGAGGTCATCGCATGGAGAGCTGACTGAAGATCCAGGCCTCCAGCTGGTCTCCCCCATCCTCCCCCTCCACCCTCTCCTCCTCCTCCTCCTCCTCCTCCTGCAGGGGGATGCTGGGAGCAGCCTGCAGCCTGCAGCCCGGGGCAACACACACCCTGCAATCAGCCAATTAATCACAGCCCTCCCTCTTCCTCCTGTCCTCTCCTCCTCCTCTGCCACATGGTCCTTTGTACCTCTTACAGTCCCATCCACAACACTGAAGCTGCTCTACACTTTCTCAATATGATCTACTCAAATACAGCAGGAAAACACAAACAAGCGGCCGCAGCGTACTTTAAATCATTTAAATATCACAAATTGTCATAATTAAGGACTAATAAAAGAGGTACAAGAAGGATGCTGTTAAGATAAAACAGTCAAAACCACAAGAATATGTTGGAAATATTACAATGACAACATCAGAAAGCGATGAAAGACAAAGAAAAACCAACAAAGTCGCCAGCATGGCCAACCACGCAATTTTCTTTAAAACATTAGAACATGAAAACAAACGAAGAAGAGGAAGAAGAAGAAGAAGAAGAAACGTCCTCCCTCCCGTCATCACTCTCTCTCTCTCATCCACTGAAACAAACCGAGCTAATAACTAACAACTCAAAACAAAGAGGTGAATGAAAGTCGGACATTAAAAGTGTTCGGACGCGGTCAGCTGCTCACCTTTGTCGTTTTTCTCCTTCTCCATGTTTTAAATTAATGTTTGTCTCGGACCGGTGACAATAGAGGCAGGGCGGGTGTGCCCGTTGATGAACCCCCCCCCCCCTCAGCAGTGACTTATTGACAGCAGAGATAGCCAATAGAGAGCCCCCTCCGCCACAGGGGGCGGGGCATGTGTGTCTCAGAGCCATGTGGGGCATCATGCTCATTAAGTGGAAGGAGGAAATGTTTGTGTTACCATGAAATGTGCTGAATTATATATATATTATATATATTATGTGCATTTACAAGACAGAGGCGGATGTTCACCCTTAAAGGAAATAGAAATAAGACAGCTCAGATGAATCTTCAGCTTACATCTTCTTAAATGTTTGGTCCTCTCTTTCTCGACTCGTGTTGTTTGGGTCTTTTGTTTCCTGAGTTCTTGTGATGGTTCTCCTCTCAACCTCTCATAACTACCTCACCATCAGACTCCAATCCTTTGACACCGACGTGTTTCAGCTCGTGTCGATCTTCATACTGCGAGTGTTTCTGGAGCTCTCATAGTGTGGATCTAACAGCGCAGGCTCTGATGTGTCAGTGTGTTCTCTGTTTGTTTGTTTGTTTCTCTGAGTTTGTTTGCACCCATTTCAGTTTCTGAGGATCAGCACATTTTTTTTATTTTCTGTCTCTTCTCTGTGTCAGAGATCAAAGTTTCCCCTGCTTTCGCTTTCCTCCCTCCCCCCTCCCACTGAAGGCCTCATGCTCACTTTGAGATTATCCCTCACATTAGTACTTGTTGGATGACTCTTCATGTCTCCGATAAAACTCGTATCTGACACCTAATCCTCCCCATGCGATGAAGCAAGCGAGAGCGATGTGTCATACTTTGAAGTTTATTTAAGAATAGGAAGCATCTGGAGCTTTGTAACCTCCTGCATGAAGTTCATCAGTGTTATCTTTCACTTTTAGGATGCATCATCAGTCCAAGTTTCATCACAGTCAGACTCAAGTAGTATGAGTTCACGCCCGATGGAGAACAGATCAAGCTGTTCTAATTCCCAGCTCTCTTTGGCACATCCGTTTGGCATTTGGAATTCAGACTGCACGTTATAAGCACGATTAGAGCCCGATCCTGCAGACCTGTCGACCCTGAAATCGATCTTTTTTCTTCCTTCCTGTGTAGTGTGTCATAGTGAACAATAAAGGCCACATCTGGGACGTCAGGGGAACAGACTTAACTCTTTATCTTCCTAAAACCAAACAGGCTCGACAAACCACTGTCACAGGGTACCAAGAAACCAAAGGAGCTTTACAAACCAACGCTCAAGGGTACCTCAAAGCAGATTCAGGCAATCTTAAACTAATCTTGTGAGGTCAGATAAACTGATGCTAGATGAAGAGCATTTACTCTTCTACAGTACCTTAAAACATACTCCAAAGGGTTACTTATAATGAAGGAGCAAGACTATGAGCGCACCCACACTGGGCCCAGTTGCCCCCCACCCTTAATTCCCCCGCCGGCCTGCACTCACACTGCTCCAAATGGTCGTGTCCGCGTCTGCACATCGAAAAACAACACAGAGAACATGACTGCAACTTTACTGACTTTGTGGCTTATTTAGGATAATTTTAGTCCGACTCCGGTATTTCTCGATAATGGAAGGCAGGGATCGATTACACCTCATGTCCACATTGTTAACCCTCACTTGTCCTTGTGCATGAGCAGCTGTAACCGTGCTGAAGCAAACCTCTCTGTTGAGCAAACTCAACTTTGGGGGCCAAACATCCTTGGGCACGGATTGAATGGACTAGACTGAATTCACCCTAAGTGACACAAAAGTAAACATTTAGGGGTGTAAACACAATCATTGGACATGAGACAGTTCATGACAAATTAAAAGGGTACATCTGCCTTGTGCATCTGTTTGTGATGCTAAAGGAGCAGGAAACACTTTTGCTGAATGGTACCCTGCGCAGGTGTTGAAAACAAACAGGCTCAACAAATCATCACCATAGCGTACATCACAAATCTGTACAAGAAACCAAAGGATCGTTACAAACAAACTCTACAGGGTACCTTCAAGCTGTTGCAGGGTGTGACAAACTGATGCTTCAGGTCACCTTAAAAGTGACCATAAAGGGAAACTTATGCATGCATTCTTGCTGATACGAAGCCAAAGGAGCGAGACAAACGGACACTACCCTGAACCTTAAGAGATTGATTGAGAGCCTTACATGTGATGAAGAAACGTCAGAAACTACTTAATGCTGCCTTCAACTGGACGCTGAAGTGTATCTTCCTGGGATCAGTTGGCGTGTCATGGCGCTCGTCCAATCCGAGAAGCAGACTGGCTTTGAATTGAGTCGTGAGTAAAAGTGTTAATTGTTGATTCAAGAGGGAACTCGCTCCAGCAGCTGAAAGAACATAAACTTTTGATTTATCGACTCGTGGTTCAGCAGATTTTGCATGTAAAATCAGGAAGTCCTTCGAGGGGTAAAAATCCTGCTGACGAATCCAAACCTGTTGAAACATCTCAGATTATGATGTAACCCTCCGACTCTCTCGATCTGAAGCAAAACTGAGGACAATTACAAAAGAGGTTCGAGTTTTTCTATCTCTGACCATCAGGCTCCAGCAGAGGTCATCATGCTTTGACTGACATCAGGCTGGACAGAATTAATCTGACGGCTTTTAAAACATGATTCCATCTCTCCAGTTTAAGAGTCTTTAAACTGCTTTCAGTGTGTTTAAAAAATTCATTTGTATTATTATGGATTTTGAAAAGTGCTCCATAAAAATGGGTTGGAGTAAAGTTTACAAAAAAAACATTTTCTCCCGATGTGTCTTAAAGGAAGAATGTGCAACTTTTTCATCCAGTAGATGTCGCCCTTGAGCACCAGCATAAAACCAAAACAAACTGCTGTTTGGCCACACCTCCTCCATCCTGAAGCCTCCAGAGACACACCTCCAACCCCCCTCCACTCGAGTTTGCAGGGGGAAGCGGCAGACAAAATGTTCCTTGGCTCAAGCTGCAATTGTCTGTGTCCTGCATTGTTGTGTTAGCATGCTAATGTTAGCGCTCTTTAGTTAGCTCGTAGCTTCACATTTCATGTAAACTGACACAGAATGAGCGTGATCTAAAAACGCTGACGAGACATCTAAATAATCAGTGAGTATGTTCTTCTTCTCAGCTTTTATACACAAGGGGAGGAGCCGGCCATCCCGTCCATGTAAACACGGCTCTAAAAACAACACAGCCAGCGAGACTCGAGCTTCTCACTCATTGTAGACAGTCATGACTCAGAGACACATTTAGACTGGATAGACTGGATTAGTCTATGTTTCCCGTTCTACCTGCAGGTCGTGTCAGTCTATAAGAACTAGATCTGTACAGATTCATCTCACAGACTGTCAGTAGTTTGGATAAAGCACTTTAATAGCAGATGAATATTAGAAAGAAGACATGACAGTTTTTTTTTTTATGACAACAGTTAGTGTGTTACTTACAAGAGCAAAACAAAAAAAGGATTGGACACTCCGATTCAACTCAAAATGATATGTTTCTCTTCTTCTTCTTCTTCTTCTTCTTCTGCACTTTGACACTACAACCATAAAATCCCGTCCTTCATAATGAAATAAATACCTAACACAAGCGAATGGAAGCAGCTGACCGGGGCGTTTTAAAAAAATCACTCAAACCACATCGTAATGTTTTCATACATTTCTAACCAGCGAGACAAAGCCCGTGTTCCCGCCCTCATGCACGCCTGAAGAGTTATACACCATGGCTTGAATACAGACAGACAGATCTGGTATAAGTCCAGTATATGTTCACATACATCTCACGGTATGTTCGATCAGTTTGCAGTCCGGAAATCATTGAGCAAAGCCGACAGACCGCAGCTTCTTCTTCTTTTTTGTTTTTAACTGTATGCAACAAAGCTGTCAAACGACAAACATATAAAGAGTGCGAGCTCGCTCTGAGAGGATATAACACAGGTAGAGCGTCTGAAACCGAGTACTTGGTTTAGCTTAAATGCTGCTGCAGGAAGCGTCACAAACAGAGTCAGCGTGTTTTTTTTATTTTATTTTTACGTCTGGTAACAAAAATCATGAGCTGCGTGGTTTGAACGATGCTTCCCAGAAGTCAAAAATAGCTTATAAAAATAATTTATTTTGTTTGATTTCGATGTGAGCGCGCGTCATTCTGCCAATGCTGCATGTTTGACACCTGTGTACTCGCTGCGTTCTGCTTTTATGAAGCCCTCGTCTTCTCCGCTCGGCTGTGATTTACGGCCTGATCCTGGCTCTCTTTTCTCTTTCTGTACGGATTTACGAGATGCTTATGTAAGATAATGGGACTGCAGTCAAACACATCAGGGCACGCATATTATCAAAACTACCCGACCTGTCTTTCTCCACCTCTCTGAGTGAAAAGAGAAATGAAAAGAAAAGCGTGTGGTAAGGTGCGTCGTTTGATATCTTTGATCGGAGTAGCTGGAGTCGCCTCGTTATTCTCGAATCGACCTGAAGATGTAACAGTGAGAGCAGAGAGAGAGAGAGAGAGAGAGAGAGAGAGAGAGAGAGAGAGAGAGATAGAGAGAGAGAGAGAGCAGCAAAGGGACGATTCGATGATTTGTCGAGACAGACACGATGATAGAGGAAGGATCACATTAAACAGTCAGAACCACTGAACCTGGAAGATTCCTGCATGACAAATAGAAAAAGCTGTTGTTGTTGTTTGCAGGGCTGTATGTCTGAAAGCGTCTGGAGGTCGGGCGGTCGAGGGGGGAGGATGCAGAAACCAGGTGAGGCGAGGAGCATCAACACAGGCCATGCAAACGCAGCTCCTCGTCCTCTTCTGTCAAAGGTTTTCAGTCAGACATTCGGACCACATTGCATACAAAAAGCGATAAATGCTGCCTCAACGTCGTGAAAATGTCCCAGCGCAGCGCAGAGCCCTTCTCTCACTCCGCGGTGTCACAGGCAAGATGGCATGGCGTTTTACAGGTGGACAGTAAGGGTATCATGGCGGTGCATATATAGATATTTCAGATGGGTTGTTTTTTTTTGTTGTTGTTGTTGTTGTTTTTTTTCCAGACGGCTCGGATGCTGAGTTGAGACATTGCTTTTGTGTTCCGGTCTTAAAAAAGGCGGGCCTTCTTCTTCATGTCGTTCTTCTTCCACAGGGCCATCCGGTCGAACTGATCCAGGGTCATCCCGAAAACCCGCTGGAAGTCCTCGGAGATAGGTGTCTCTGCAGAAACAGACAAAGAACAATTCTGTCACTGTTAGCACAACACATTTTTTACACACAGCAGGTTATAAGAGGCTATCCTCGCGAAGGCCACGATTACACGACGATTTCTGTTTTGATTATACTCATGCTGCATTCAGGTGCTGCTCAGGTGGTCTGAGTTTCCGAGTTGGAAAGTCGTTATTCCGACTTCAGTGAGTTCACATTATTTCAGTTCTGAAAGTCGGAATGATGTATCGACAGCCAAAAACAGCGAAGAAGCTACGAAGCAAACATGACAACTTTTGAGCAAAAAGTCGATGTGCAACATGTGAATTAATAAAAAGTATGTTAACATTAACAAACCATATTTTGCCCCTCATGTGACGACGATTCTGACAACAAGTCGGTAAGTCGGGCGCCTCATTCTTTCCTTTCTTTCCTAGTTGTTGTTCCGACTGTACCCGACACCACCTGAATGCACCATTTGTTCCTCCTTCTTCTCCCTGGGTTTTTGTTCGTGCTGCTCACTCCAGGTTGATGTCTTTTGTCTGAATCTCTCTGAACAGTTGCTCGCTCTGCACCAGGGTTTGATTGACAGCTTTCACACTGATCCTCTACTTGCTCACCACACAAACCCATGCTAAGCTAACCTAGCTACATCGTCGCTCCAGTTCTGTACTCAAAACAATAAAAAAAAAGCGATCGATCCCACTTTCAGAAAGATGTCAAACTGCTCTTGCACAAGAAGTGGCAGGCTGAGTTTTTCTTTGTCCTCATTGGCTTGTTTAGCCTCCTGGCATGGTGACCGTCTGGACTCTTGAGTTTTGGGTCTTGATTTGGGTTTAGCTGCTGATTAGTTCGGGTAAATCGAAACCACGTTAGGGTCAGAGATCAGGACGGTGGAGTGTTTCTCTCTGACAGACTCGTGGAAACCGGACTCCAGCCTGCCGATTGTTTTGCGTCAGTAACACCTCGACGTCCCACTCCTCGTGGGACATTATTCCCCAAACCCCCAGAAAGGCTCTCCGGGAGCTCTCGTGTCGAGGTGACTGAAGGTTCAAACATTTTAATGGGGCTGTTGTTTTGGAGGGAAAAGGACAGGAGGATAATCAACGCTGCACCACAAGACAAACCACAATCCAGAGAGCGCTTTACTCACTCACATATTTCCTGTTTCAAGCAACCAGCTCTGACTCTGTAACCGGGCAGCGTAAGAATAACTGCAGCAGGAAATGAGTTATTAGGCTACATTAAGAGCTTCATTCTTTATTACAGGACATGCATGTGGGTTCAACTCGCCGTGACCTGGTGTGAGAGGAAGTAACGAGACTCAACATCAGACAGAAGGAGCAAAAATACCGTTGATTACATTAAATAACACATTTCAGTGACTTTATTTAACAAGTCTCTGCTTGAACTTTTGACTTCAGCTAACTCTAAACCACATGAGAAGCACGCCTGATGTCACTGTTGAACACCTCGTTCAGAAACCAGGAGCCTAAACGTGCCGCAGAAACAGGCGCTACTCTTCTGGTTAGAGACGTGTAGTGTACTTTCACACTCGCAGAAATCTGATATTTGCAGGAGGAGCACAAACACAAACAGCTGAATGTTTCTCTCTTCACCCAGAGTTTCTCCTCCAGCCTCCTCGTGTTTATTCTGCAGAAAGTCAGAGTGAGCTGATGTGAGAACGCAGCAGGATATAATCAGGAGAATTCACCTGGAGCGAGTGGGAGGGGGTGGTGACTTTTATTCCCTGTGAACAACCAGATCAGGACCATACAAACAAACATTTGTCCAGCTTCAGATAAATGGTAAATGGAACTTCTCTGAGCTCAGGCCCTCGTCCACACCGGCTCGCCTGCCTTGCCTGCATAACTCTGATTGTAAATCATTCTTTAAACCACACGTTAACATTTTCTCCGCTTGTTTATAACGAGGAGAAACAGCAGAGCAGGGAGAAAAAAAACACATTTTCAGCTCACCTCCAGTCTGGTCCGGTCGACGTCTCTGGGAAGCTTCACTTTCACTCTATGCGTCACTGCCAGGATCTCGTACGGGTAGATCTGGATCACACACGCAGTCAGCATTGAGGGAGAGTTATTAGGGAATACAGAATCCAGAGTGCACACCAAGCAGCCAAGAATATTATTAGCAGAGTGTTAACCAATTAAAGTCATCTTACCTTGTATTCTGAGAGGGAGGGAGAGAGAAGAGAGAGAGAGAGGATTAATCCAGAGGAACAATAGCAGAGTGATGATAACATGAATGATACCTGATGGAATTCACTGTCATCACAAATATTCAACGTGAAGGGCGTCGAGAGCGTCATGAGCGGTTGCTGTGCGCCCAAAAAAATACACACACAGTTATGAGGCTGGCACCCATCAACTCAGTCGCTGCCAAAGATACAGCAATAGGTACACATACACAGACACACACACACACACACACACACACACTTGTAAACGCACACACTGTTGTAAAACACACACATTGCATGCACGCAAGCACACACTCTTGTAAAAGTGTGCGCACACACACACACACACACACACACACACACACACACACACACACACACACACACACACACACACACACACACACACACACACACACACACACATAATCCTGCAGCTGGAAAGATGACATCACCTCTGTGCATTGTGACCCTCCAGTAAGTGATCTGCAGACCGAGCTGCAGGGCTCGCTCACAAAGAGATCAGGGATTGTAAACTGACCTTTGATTTGAGAATGAAACACCACACTTGTCCTTTTAACATTTTAAAGTTTTAAGATTTTAAACTTGGAGGGAAAGATTCTCTCTTAAGGGGGTTAAGCTTTGGATCTCTGAACGATACAGGTGGTTCATGAGTCAGAAATGTCACAAATTTCACCTCAGATTTTTTTCGCAGATCAACAGTAAAGGTCTACAGTGTGACGGCCCTCCCACCAGCAGGGCGGTCTGTGTGTTTGTTTCCCTACAGGACGCTGGTGGGAGGAGTTCCACCACACCTTGGTAGACCTGGCTAGTCTCTCCAGTGTGGGCTATTTAAGATCCGGCGGTCAACACAAAGCTCCTCCTCGCACTATGCTTTTGTTGTAGTTTGCTTACACCATACAACATGCAGCACACACCACACACTCACACTGATTCAAAGACAAACACCCCTCACTCTCTTTGTAAACTGATAGTATTTTTGCCTATATTTTGTAATAAACTTTTACACTGTTTTTTCCCTGGTTTTTGTCAGGAGCCGCGTCATGACAAAAGTCAAAATAAAAAGGTTCCCTCGACTCATCGACAGACTGCTTTGTTTGTGTCTTACATTCTCTAAGTATTTCAACGATGCACCTATTAAAAGTGAAACACAAAAAGCAGGAGACAAACAGCATTATTAATTTCCCTCTCACCTCTCATGCCGCCCCAGCTGTGGGAGTCTGGGTCCACTTCATCCTCCACCATCTCAGCAGCCTGCAGGAACACACACACACACACACACATAAACAAAGACCAGTTAGACCGTCATCCAGACGAGGCTGCAGGGAGCCAGGGTTCATCTGAGAGTCTTTGAGTCACTGCGTCTGCCTTTGACTCGCTCACATTCCTTCTGGGTGAGGGATAGGAAAAGAGGGTTAGGGTGCCTTGGTCTTGGTCTTGGTCTTGGTCTTGACGGTCAGTTTGAGCATCCACTTCATATTGACACAAGAATCTGTTTTAGACTGCTTCCACCAGAGCGATGTTTATTGTTTTATCCGTAAATTAAATGTTTGTTAAATGTTTGTTTTGGTTAGAAGAAGGGGCGGGACTTCAACTCCGCGGCTGACGTCACCCATTGCTGCAGGAAACTTTGACTTTGAGAGGTTGAGACAAGTCGTCTATCTAGACAGCGGTCCAGCCTCATACACAGTTTCTATAGGCCATTTAAAACAATACCAAAGACGTATCAGTGGTGCTACACCGCTGCACATCAGGCTAATCCCCATGGAGACTGTTGTAATGTTTATTTAGACATCAGCCGCCCCCCACCCACCTGGGTCGCAGACGAGCAGAGGGATTTGCAAGACGACGCTTTTTGCAAAACACCTCTCATTGGTTTGTTTACACTCATCCCAAAAAATGCAAGGTGTTTTCTCTAAAAATACAATTTATATTACAAGTATGATGTTTCATACCTTTATTCTCTGAACACTCTGAATCCACCAAGTCAATAGCACTAACCAGTAATGTTCAGTTCAACATACTTTCTGCCCTGACTCTGTCGGGACTCCTGCACATTCATTTCCTCCTCTGGTGTGTTTTGTCTGCCTGTCCTCAATCCATCAACAAACACAGAGGGAGGGCAGCAATAGCCCATCAGTGGATGATAGACTTAATACCCCCAACGTCCTCATAATAAACCAGAGCCCCGTCTGTGTGGAGTGAATGGTACTGCGAGATCCCCCCGTGTAATCTGAGACCTAAACAGTGAGAGAAACGCTCGGGGAGGTTGAATTCTGGAGAGGTTGGAGATCTCTTAATGATCTTTATGCTTCTCTGAGGTTCCCTGTGGTGATTGGTCGAGGCTTTGAGGGGGAGTTCAGTAGAAAGATGGGATCAATATGTAAAGATGCTGTGGTCTGTGTGGGTGATAGAAACTAGAATTACCGCCTTTGGGTTGTAAACGTCCGGCAATCTATCAAGATTTCAGTTTACTACCGCTCATATGTTTCCTACAGAATGACTGTGGGAGGGACGGGGGATATGTTTGTATAATCATAACATATATCACAGAATGCATGACCCTAGAGCAAATACCCACAATTATTTACAGGAGGAACATAATGTCAGAACATTCAGGGGTAGATTGAGGAGAGATTTCCACTGACTGATCACGGATGGTTCAGTCGTCTTGAGCGGAGGAAAACATCAAATATAAACCTGATAACCTAAAATCCCTTCAAGGTGTTTTTGTAAGTTATTTTGGGTAATTTGTAATTCGTTGATTGGATAGAACAGCCAAAGAGAGAAAGAAGTATAGCCTCCATACATGCATGGGGCACGCAACATAATCGCTAGCTAGGCTATTTGGTGCCTCAAAGTTCCTTTCAGGAGTTGTGGGTAAATTGAACTGTTGGGAAATTATAGAGTCCAAGGTTTTTTGATCAAGTAAATATCGCTGACTCCAAGCAGACATTTTTTCCAAAGAAATTCCCTCTAACCTATCTTTGGAGATAAATGACCAGAAAACTGTTTTTCCAGAACATTAAGATAAAGCAATGAGGTTGCACATCAGCCTAATGGTAAAATAAATCATCAGAACATCATTTGATCCAGTAAATTCTTGAGAGTCAGCCATAAAAATAACTTTTTTGAGACATCACAGTGAGCTGAAAGATCCTTATCCGGTTTTATGTTCCACATGGAAGGATGAGAACTAAATAAATTAGCAAAGGGGCCCCAAACTTTTATCTTTTACCACCAAATTCAAACCAGTGCATCCTTGAGTCCAAGTGGAAGTTTGCACCAATTTTGACCATGTGTGTTTGGTGTTCCTGAGATATTGCTTTCACAAGAATGGGATTCAAGGCCAACAGAAATGCCTTCAGGCTGCAGCTGTGGACTCTGTCGACTGTTAACAACACCATCGAGTGGCCTGAAATGCATCTTCCCAAACCTGAGTGAACTCTTTCCTGTAGACCTCCTCTTATCTGTTGGTTTGCTTGTTTATTCCCTTCACCATGGTGACATGCACACTCCATTTAAATTAACAAGTCACTCTGCGGTGAGTCAAACGTTCTCAGTAAAACAGCCAGTGCAAATCAAGTGCACCCCCTGCCGCAGCTCGTTGACTGCCAAAGCTTTGGGCCTGGTTTTTATTGGGCCAGATCTGATATCACAGAAACAAAAGACACTGAGGGCGCTTATTATTTGATAAGGGTTATTATGGTATTGTGTCATGTTGGCTTGGTGGAAATATAAAAACCCTGGTGCCAGATGTTACAGGCATGGTTAAGATTATGAGGTCATCAATGGAAGTATCTGGGAATGGGAGTAAACCATAGTTTACATTGGTTGTAACAACATTATGCTTACTGAATTAATCACTGATATCTCAGAATGTGTCACAAACGCTAAATGGTTCAAATGTAGAAGTCACACAGTCAGACTTCCATCCATCCATCCATGAATCGGCTCCAGCCCCCAGCGACCCCGCACAGGAAAAGTGGTATAGATAATGGATGGATGGAATTTTTGAGAACAGCTGTTCAGCTAAAACTGACATGTATATTTCAAGCTAATTAGCGTCACTGTTAGCACACCATTTATCAGCTCACCTTGTAGATGCCATTCCTTCCATATCCGGGTAGAGATGCAGATTTATTGTAGGGGAAATCTGCCAAGAGAAAAAACGTTATCATGTCATGCTTGAGCTTTCCTTTAGTATCTGAATGTTACACTTCATGTCGATCACACCAGGCTTTACTTCTGATGAGCTACTCACTGGGCTGGGAGGTATCAGTCGGCAGACTATGTGTGGATTTGCTGGGGTCTAGATCTTCTGGACCCATGTGTCCGTCAATTTCACTCTTCAAGATCATCCAACTGGTCCTCTAATGAGAGAAAGAAAGAGAGAGAAAGAGACAGAGAGAGAGAAAACGATGGAAGGAAGTGATGGGTGATGGTAAAGTATGAGTTAGTGAATTAGTGAATGGATGTACAGTATTTTCAAAGTTGAAGAAAAATGGCTTGAAAAAGAGACAGATATGGACACACAAACGTACACACAGACCCACCTTGCTATCCTCCCCATCCTGCCAGGATGTTCTAGAAGCTGTAAAAACAGTCACATGTTACAGGAAGTCACAAGTAATGAGCTGGATCATCTGCCTCTCAGCTCCACTACACCGCACGATAAAGTCTACAGTAAATCACACCCGACCGTGACATCATCAGCTGCAGACGGCATCTACAGGGAGCTCTGCATGCAGCATAACTGTGGACTCAAACAGGCTGCATAGCAACCAATAACGACTCTGTTGATGGGGCTTCATGGACAGGTTGGGAGCACCGCCTATAAGTCACCAGAGCAAGATCGTTCAGTAAACTAGATCTAATCACTAGGAAATTTGGTGCAATATGGAAGATTGCATCAGGCTTCGTTTTGATAACTCCCGTAAAACTTCAAATAAAAGCCCAATTTAAGGCCTAGTCCCCTTTACTAGCCACGTGTTGCTGCAAGTTTTGACGAATAAAGGCAGCTCTTAGTTCGAAGCCCCTGTGCATTTAGCGTTGATTAACTTGGAAAAAGCTGTCTTAAAAAGCAAAATCAAACTCTTGATATGTAACTTAACAGTAATATGTTTAGGGATACCCTAGCTTTTTGTACGGTAAAATAATCCTTCTGGTGTTAATTAACACTTTTATAGTCTTTCCCATCTTTGATGTTTGTTTGAAAATATCTAAAGGCTTGTCTCGTATTGACGCCTGTCAGGCTCATTTCATATACTGAAGGGAATCAAAGCCAGGGCTATTAATAGAAGTTTTACGATAATTGTTGGATGGATGTCCAATGACCTTTGCTCTGGATATTCATTATTCAATACCACTTATTTTTCATGACATCCTTTGCTTTGGTGCGATCGATACTCCGAACGTTCCCACTTGTATCCAAACCAAACCTGTCAGATGACTATGACATCGACTGTGTGCATTCATACTCTGCAGAGGAGGAACCCTTCTCATTTTGGGCTCTCTGTTGGCTTCCAGTTAGTAATTCTGATGCCCTAAGGTGCCATAAATTACCAGATTTTAGGGAGTGCATTTTAGGTTTAAATCACAGTTCAACTTTTTCCAATTTATTGTGGCACATTCAGACTTTTGTTTGCAAATGCTCATACTGGGAAAACAATGACATTGCAGAGGCCCTCATTCTAACGCCGCCGTAGATCAAACTCTAAAAATACAATCTAACATTTCAAATTTGGTGTTTATTGTCTTTACATTACTTGGGGTCAAAAGGAGTATCTGGTAAGAAAAGGGAAGTGAATTGCTTCTCGGCAGAACAGGCTGTAATGGCTGCAACATAATCTTTGGAGGCCACTGCAAAAACGTAGACTAATGCATGGTGAGAGTATCTGGATATCAGGCCGAGGAAAGTTAAATCTACATCCTCTTCTTCGACTAGAGGAGACGCGTGGCTGTGCTTTGAACTACTTCTTGTACAGCGGACAGGAACGTCTTTGTGCCAAATCTTACATCACATTTCACAAAACTGAACCAATGGGCCAAATATCCTTAAAGTATGTGTGTGGTCCAATCACACATGATGTCACTTTACAAATTCCCAATGTGAAGCCATTAGAGCGTTCTGTACTTGGAGGAAAGTAGATTTCCTCTTTACTGGCATACTGACAGAAAAAGCCTGGTCAGTGACCTCACGTCTGCTTGAATGCACACAGTCGAGATATGGGAGGCAGGCTCATAAATCTGTAGCACTATGCCGTATGCAGCTGAGTTATTTGTCACATTTAACAAAGAGGAATACTCCCTTCAGTGATAGAGGTGATAAAAGCTCCTCGGACTCCTATGTCAATGTGCGCCGAGTGACCCGAATAACAGAAGATGACTACAGTGAGAAGTGTACACCGTCAAGAGGACACAAACAATGGTGAGGGGAGAGACTCAGTGATTGATAAACACCTCCAATACAACCACACACAGTGAATCATGGACCCGACCATTCACAGTGGACACAGACACTCACAGTTTTCAACACTGAAACCAACAAATGAGCCGGTGAGATGAGTGCAGACATGCATAAACAGGAAGAGCAAAATCACCACCCAGAGCCCCCCAGATTCTAACAGTCCCATTTTTTTTTTAAATCAGTGCGTTTCTTTGATGAGTTGTCAAATCAGACTTTGTAGTTTGGAGAAATGTTTTTGCAAGGATGGAACTAAATCATGCTAATCATGTGTTTAAAATTAGATTATTGGTGAATTGCACTTATCTCTGTAGTGTTTCAGACACTGGTTGAATATAGACTATATAATATAGTCTCCTACGGTGGCCATCAAGGACAAAACTAAGCAGCATAATAGAAAACCTGAAAAATAGTTTGTTATAATGTGTGTTCATTGTGTTCTAAAATGAAGCGTAATGTTTTTCCCTAAAAAGCTTTTCTGAGTTTTTGCTTCTCCTTGACAAAATAAATGAGACGTTTTTGGGCGCGGTTCCCCGACTCTGACAAAACCATGTTAAGTCCTGAGATTCTGATAGTTTTGTTGCTTTAAGCGTGAGCCACCCTGCTCGGAAGGACGTCATGGGCCTTTCAATATTTACGATCAGATCTCCTATTGTTTGGGGGGAAAGGAAGACCAAAACTCCAATCGCGAGAGTTCGAGTTTTGAGAGTCAGGACTCTGGTTGTTGTTGAATGAATCTGTGAGTGTGTAGGGACAAAAGTGTTTGATCCTTCATTATTTATCATTATGTGTCGGCTCTCTAACATTTTCAACATGTTTAGATTTTTTAAATCGTATAGTGTGAGCTGGGCTTCTATCATTGATGTTTTTTCTGTGATTTCTTTTGTATTCAGAGACATTTATTTTCGGTTTCCTGAAGGTAACATTTTGATATTGTTTGGATTTGATTGGTATCAAGCCCCACGCAGTTTCTGTAGATGGCTGTTTCGTCATGAGCCTGGATTTGATTAGATTTCTGTTAAAAGGAAGTTTTTTCTTGCCACTGTAACTTTTGCTGCTTTGCTAAAGTGCTCATGATGGATTGAAGATAACACTTGAATGAATTGATGCTATACAAATAAAGATTGATTGATTGAATTCTCATGTGATTTTGTCCATCAAGACCACCATACATTAGAAAACTTAAAACAATCATTCAATTAAGGAACAGTGTAAAAGTCACCAGTGTAAAAAAATGAATATTGGGGGAATCCATCGTCCATAACGCAGACCACATGTTTGTCATATCTCAAATCCAATTACGGTAAAATAATCTTTGGAAGGAAATATAAAAACTCATTTCTGTCCATGTCAGGTTTATGTTTTATAAGCCCTCCGCCTTAATGAATCATTTAAGCATTTCACTTTATTGCAGAGAGGGAGAGCTGCTCTGAGAGTCAGGCCAACAGTCGGGTTGGGTTTTTTAGTTTGTTCAATGTGTCACTCAATGGCCCCGCATCTGAATGTTGAACTTTGCACTTGTCCTATGCATGGAGATCCGTGAACTGCACTCGACAGTCGCAGAGGAAAAGGGGGAAGAACTGTGACGAGGAGGTGACTGACAGGCGACATGCAACACATCGTGCAGAGACCAGACCAGAGGAGGAAGTGTTAAAGAGGAAATAGACTGTACCATGCTGTCGGTAGATGGGGGGTTTTCTATAGATATTATCTTTGACCATAGTCTCTGAAGATGGGAACAGACGCAGAGGAAAGAAAATGGACGAAGCCAACATGGGAGGGAGGAGGGAGAGAAAGAAAGAGAGAGAATGGAGAAAAAGTAGCATGAGTTAGCAGTTATTGAGGGATGAGATCATTTTGAAGAAGCAAAAAGGGGGAGGCAGGGGCGCAGTAAAAGCTTGATTTTACTCAAAACATTTGTCATTTTTTATCACGGCACATCAGTAAAAAACAACACTTTTATTATCCATGCAACGAACTCCAAAATAACAATATGGTTTTTATTGTTTTTTTTAATTGGAAGTGGGAAGTTATTTGATGCAGAAGAATTCAATTAGAGAAAAATATCAAACCCCACACATGGTCCCTAAGCGTCTATTAAATCCAAAAAAACAGAATTAATAGAAAGACAACACAAAAATATGTTGAGGTTATAAAAGTATTTTTGTTTTAACTGTTCTGCTAGACTAAAGGGCCTTTCAGATAGGGTGCAGTGTGTGCCACTGCGTACGGCGCAGAGCAAGGGGCGGATGCAGTTGCTAGGTTAACAAAACGATAATCTGGAAAATAGCTCACCAGCAAGCCACACATTTCTGCTGCTGTTTTAAACACACCTGGTACGCCCTAACTGTTGGACATGTCTTTACAAAATAGAGATTTCTTTCCAAAGTCCTTGTAGATCTTTAAACTAGAACTCAGAAAAGTGGGACAGTTGGGGAGTTGCGCCGTTTGTTGTGATTGGATCTTCCCTCCTATTGGACGAGCGGTGGTGGCGTCATGGAGCACTGCGTCCAAGTTGAAAATGTTTCAACTTCCACCCAGTGACCTTTTGCAAATATGCTCTTGCAGGGCCCAACACATATACAATGAACAGGCTTGACGGCGACAGGCGGCCTCCACCGCGTCCTATCTGAAAGTCCCTTAAGGCTGTTTTAAAAAAACGCCTACTACACTAGCAGTACGTACTGATTTGGCCAAAATGCAGTATGCAATTTTCTGAAAAAATTGAATGTATGACGAAAATACCCAGATGTCATTCTGATTCGGGAAAAAAAAAATCTCAGTCTGCATCAGACCAGTCTCCCTCGCGTACTGTTTCCCACAATACAAAGCGGCAGGTCAAAAATCAAAGGGACCGACAGCAACGTCCATCGTAACAGGGGAAAGAATTACAATCAGACCAAACCACACAAAGAGACCACCAGTTATCTTTGTTGATTCTCCAAATCATTCAGACTGTAAGTGGACGCTACACTGAGGCGCATTTGTCCTGAGCTGGGCTGTTGTTTCTACTTCTTCATTCAAAGACCGGAAACCAGCTTAGCCGGTCCTGGTGTACTGCAGAAAATGGTATGGTACAGATGGCCAGTGTGACCGCGCCCTAAGTGTCTCTGGAATAATGGGGACAGTATGTTTGACCCTTTGGCTTATTTCATCCGTCTTAATGTCAGCGGACTCAGACAGGCCTCTGACAGAGATTCTTGTCGCACATGAAACCACGGCAGAAACATGACTCACAACCAAACAACACATCTGGGTTCTTCCCGCGGCTTGTTTCAGAGCCTGCCAGCGTCTGAAACAACATCCATTTGAAAGCAATAAGGACAACGACTCTGAAAACAACTGAAAGCCATTAAGTGGATAATCGCTTTCTTTATTTTTTCCACTTAATTGGTTCCAACTTGGGAGGGTTTTTTTTCTTTCCTCTGTATGACAGACAGTGTAATCATCAATGGAAACAGCATGTTGGATAGAGACAGAGAGTATTGAAGGGGAGGCTGTTTAACGTCAACTCTGGTGAAAGTGATGACAACAATTAGCACACAGCAGGGACAGTGCCAACAGAACAGTCCTCAATAAATAAATACAGAAAATACAAAGATGAATCCCTAGCCCTATAAAATATGAGGTGAATACATCGGGCTTCTTGTGAGAACCGTTTACATCAAAAGAACTTCTGTTGGGCGTCCCAATGGGTGATGGACGGGGATTAAGGTGCTGTGTAGAAATTTCTGGTTTTTGGAGTCTTAAATTGGAACACCGACAAGAGCAAAAAATGCATTAAAATGAGAAAAAAAAAGTTTGCACAAAAGAGCTTCACTAGATCCTTCCTAGTACCTGGAAAGAAAGGAGTTAAATACAGTGGAAAGTAGAGCCCTTTGTTGCCTCAAACTAGTTCATTTATTCGACCTGATCATCAAAAAATAGTCTTTTACCAAAGACAATCAGAACACCAAAGATTTCCAGCTTGGTTTATATGGAACCTGCTGGCAAAAGGACCTCAAAATTAGTCTAAAACTATGCAACACGTATGTCCTAAAATATTTCTTATAATGGCCCCAATTACGATTGGAAAGCTGGTTTATATTTTGCATTTTGATTAAGCTCTCATAGTGTGCTACTAAGTTCTCCTCCATGTAACTAATGGCCTCCTGCTCTTCACAGTGTGTAAACCCAAAGGTAAAGAGACGAGCTAAGTTGCAGGCCAAGCGGTGCGGGTGTTGCCTACCTGGTATGTGGAAGTGCCGGGGAGCAGCCATGTATGTAGAAGTAGAGGAAGGGGATTTGCCATCAGAATAGGTGGATAAGCTGGGGGTACTCCGACCACTTTCACTACCTTCATTTGAGAGGAGGAGTCGGTGGGCAGCGGGAGGGAAAGGGTTTTGGGGGGGAAAACAAAGGGTGTTGGGGGGAAAAGGCAAAAAAGGCAGGGTTATGTTAGTCATGTTGCTATAGCGCAAAAAAAGGAGCAGTGATTATTCTAATGACCCAGATGACTTCATAACCCAGCTGTTTACGGTGTTTACATTCACTGCACAGTGATTGGAACAATACCTTTAACTGGTGGACCGAATCTTTGGTGGAGAATCTTACTCTCCTGTTAAGTGATGAGAACAATACCGTCCCTCTTGGAGTATCATAAATGGTTTTTAGGTGTTTCCCAGTACATCCTCCAGATTTTCCTTGGGATACTGAAACATTGACTTGAGGTTGATGATGGGATCACTAGGAGTGTGCTAGGTTTGCTCTTTGGTCTCCTGCTGACGTCATATGGCACCACTCATTGCCATTGATCTTGACAGTCCTGTCCTTCAAAGAAAAATCCACCTAGACCAATGTTTTCTCAAATTTTAATAATTTAACCAAATCCCATGATTATATAAAAGAGTGGGAATGGGGTTGGAATAAAGACGTGGCAATATTTGATACCTTTGCAAGATGGTCAAGCTCTTGTTCACAACAAAAAATTTCAGAGGTCGACGTTGATTTATATCATAATTCTCAATCGTGAATGTAACCCAATGGCAGACCCTATCCATTCCAATTGGGATAACTGCCACCTTTATCTAAAATAGAAACACAAATCCACATTTTTGAAGTGGTTCAGCCATATGCCAGTCAAAGTTTTCCCTCTTTCTCTCCTATCACAGGCAAACCACTTGCAGCTGTTGGAGATTTGGTGGAGAGGTTGTGCATTGGTTAACGTCAGCCTTGCTGTAAGAAGTTCCTCGGTTCAATCAGAATTTATGAATTATATTTTCATGGGCGAGGTTCACTGTTTGTCTGTTTTTGTGCATCTGCCATATGGAGGATTGGTGATCTCTGTAGGCTGGACTTCGCTTCTATCCAAAATGAACTGGAGAAGGCCTCAGCTTATGGATGATCCAAACATTTGTTCTCATCACTTAACAGTTTACTTTCTGAATCACAAAATTGATTTTATTGTTCTGGTTCAAAGCTAAGAACAATGACAAACAAAGTGACTTGTTACCCAATGTATCGCTTCTGGAGAGTTTTGTTGAGTGTGGCCCTAAATCCCAGTTTGCTGACTGCCTACATATGAGTGTGTATCTCCAATCCCAACGCACCCTATTGTATTACATCACAGGCAGGCTGGGTGATGGAGTCACTGACACCAATAAAGCCAAAAGTAATAAACACTCTACATCCAGAGCTTTGAGGAAGAAACAGCGAGGGATTTAGAGTGTGCATGAGAGAGTGAGCGTTCGCTGATTGAACACACATCTCTCCTCCTCAGACTGAGGGGAACCATCGGCAGCGATCTGGATGCAAGTGGATGAGATCACTGACATACACAGCAGTTCTGTTAGTGCTGGTCTGAGGGATCTCCAACACATACACACAATCACACACAATCACACACACATGCCCATAAACACACACATATCAGAGTACTGTTAGTGCAGCTCTAAATGTAGGCCAAACCCTCCTTACAAACATCTGGAGCTAACAGAGGAGGTGTTGGCAGACTGGAGACTTTAGGGAGGGGATGCATTATAATTCATTTGCACAGATAACACATCATACTAAAGGTGGATGCCATTTCTTAATAAAAAAGCAATGACACAATAACAAGATATAAAATGTGGTTTTGGTATCATTTAGCAGGTCTTGAGAGAGATAGAAATGCCTTATTCACTATTGCTTAAGTCTTATTGCTCCAGTAACTTCTCTGCAGAAACCCAATAGCTCATTAAAGAACGAGCCTGTTGCATGAAAACAAATAACCCTCTTTCATGGCATGTTAGGAGCAGATAGGGCTTGACAAGGACCAGCAGTGCACTCCGTTACATGCCACTGCAACTGGCAAACAGACCCCAAATTACAGCTCGTCACTCAGGCTACTTCATTCCTCAGTTCCCAGTCCTTCCTTTCATCTCCTCCAGTGAGGAGAGCTCCACTCTCAGCCACTCCACCCTGTCATGGAAAAACCGCCCGAAAAACCCAGGACCGCGTGTTCGTGATTTTCTGTGTTAACGTAGAATCCCCTGCTGTTTTTTCTCCTCCTTTTAACCAGACGTAATCATAGAAGGCACGTCAGTAAAAATGTGGTCCTACTGCTGCAAAAGTTCTCTTGAGCGGTGGTTCTCAACTGATGGCTCGGGACCCAAAAGTGGGTCGCGGGCAGCTTTCTGTGGGTTGCGCAATGTGTGTCTGGCAAAGAAAATTCTGTAAAAAACTCTATAAAGTCATGTTGCGTTTCCTTCTTCTGTCATATGTTCTCTACCGTCTGAGGTTCAAACTACACAATTCTTCATTGAATAAATTTGATTGGTTGAAAAATACCAGAAATTTGACTCATAATTGTTCATTGGTGGGTAATTGTTGGTGGGTCCTGAGGCTCGACCAGTTAAGAACCACTGCTCTAGAAAACAAAACTACCTTTGCTTTAGGGGCAAAGATTCCCTTTATACAACCAGCCTGATTTTGTGATTGCCTCGTGGTTCCTGCTCTGAAGGACCATACTTGCATATTATCTTGTACAGTACGAACTAAAGCCTGTATAGTATCCCTGTATATGATTGATTTAGATTGGAGGTCAACAATTAGGTTTATCTCAAGGCCTAGGAGTTCTTCTTTTTCCAGTGAACACATTTGCTGATGATGTAGTAATTTGTTCTTACTAGATGTGCCTTCCTTGTCAGTCATTAAAACACAAAGCCTGTTCTCCAGGTTGATATCAAGGTGAGAAGTAAGTTAACACTAAAGGGATCAAGTCTGACACATTACAATAAACAGAGGATCATTCAGGAAAAAAACACTGGGGTTAGATTCGATAAAAAAAAGCAGGCAAACGATGAGACCACAATCCGAAAATACAAGCACATAAATTAAATCACAATTAAACTTCCTCTGAAAGATCACGTTGAATATATTGAGGTCACACTCAGGTCTAAATCAAGTTAAACCATGCACCACAACAACCACGACGTCCACAGACACAAGTGAACAGGGCAAGCAGAATGGGGAACTCTGAGTGGGCCTAAGATCGTACCTTGATGCACCCCATGAAACAACACCACGATACCGGACAACAACATCACAAAACCTGCTAACCATTCCACCAGGGGGAGGGGAAACACAGAGAAGAGAAAGGCCACTGGTGTTTACCGTTAGGAGGAGGTAAACTGAGATGCAGGGAGGTCCTAGATTTGGGGTCAGGTAAGGGGTCCTGTTTGAAGCCTAAGGAAGGGAGTTGAAGGGACGGGGATAGGATGAAGCAAAGGGAGGGAGTTGGATAAGCCTTTCTGAAAGGGGTCATAGCATTCTTTGGGAACGTGTACAATACTGGTTTGTGATGTTGATTTCAAGGAGGTGTGGTATCGTTGATAGCATTAGTAGTTTCATGGCTTTGGTTCAAGAATTAAAAAAAATCTTAATGAGGGGACAAACAGTGACAACAGACCCCAACGCAGTGCACACCAAGTCAGACATATACGTTTCCTATTGGACTTATTGTTCCATGATGAAGCTGGAGACTGTGAAACTCAAAGTGTGAGTTTCCAGCACAGAATTAATTTGGTGCTAAAACACACCCCATGCCAAGGCAAGTCAAGTCAATTGTATCACAGCACTCCATTCATTTGGACCAAAAACCTCAGTCAAATACAGATCCGGCAACTTGCTGCTGTTCAGGAAACATTTAAATAACAATTTTCTTATTTTAATCTTCAAATCAAGGGTTAACTTGTTCCTGTTCTACCTGGGACACCCCACTTTTGGGACAGCTTTTTTGGTAATTCTTGTAGCTGTTGCTAACAGCAATGATCCCAGCAAGTCGTCTGTTCTCTGTATTTGACCAGCTGTTGATCTCGGCGTGCTCTGATACCTCTGAAGTAGGGGATGTAGTTGTGCTGCTGCAGCATGGCCAGGGTGGTGGGGTTTAGGTGATAAGACAAGCCTGCACTGCCACCTGGTGGTAGAGGTGAGTACTTGCCACTACCACCACCACCGCATCCTTCAGCCCCACCAGAATAGTACAGAGGGACAGATGATGAGTCCCTAGCCCAGGTGGAGGGGTACTTAATAGCACCCAAGAGATTTGGAGTCAAAGGGAGAGAACTGGTGTCACGGGCCTGGCTGCTGTATCTACCACTGAGGTAGACATCTGGGCCTGAATGTCCAATCAGATCACAGGAAACATGTTAAGTCGAGGATCAAATTCTGAAGACACGTAGTTTCTTTAAGGTTTAAGGATTTTGTTTCCAGGGAATATCAAGGGGTGCAAATCTGCAGTTTGTTTCAAAAGGGTTTAAATGCAAATAATCAACTGGAAATGTAGGATAATGTTTTCATGATAAATTGGTTTAAGAAAGATTCAAAGAAACCCAATTACCCTGTAAAAATAGTGAAATGGAAACATTCATGATATAATCCACTTCATGGCAAGAATCCTGAGATGGAGTCATATTTCAGTTTGAAAAAGAACCCTGCTTTCCCCTATTTTAGGAGCTACAGCCGTGAAGTATTTCAGATAGTCCTACAGTATGTTGAGTATGGACACCAGACGACAAACAAGAAGTTTTAAATCAATAGTGACGTATTTCCAGCTAAATACTCTACGCAAGCAACCAGGTTTTCTTTAAGAGGGACACATGAAAGAGGTAAGACAATGGGTGTAAATATTTGTAAGTGGGCTTTTTGATACACGTGTGATTGAGGCGTGATACCTGGTCGGCTGTAGTTCTGGGGCGAACGTGACGGGGTGTAACGTCCGTAACCACCCATGGAGCTATTGGAGCTGGGGCTGGAGGGCCTCCGCTGACGGGGCGACTTCTCACCGTCACCCTGGACACACATAGCACAAAAAAGTTTTAATGCACTCCATCATCATCGGCATAGTAACAGACAGACGCGGGCATAACGTCTTCTCTGATTTTCTGATCAATCTTGTTGCAAAAACGAATAATCTCACAAACATTATAGGTGATGTTAGATAACACGGATGCAGGGAAATACACTAAAGAGGACATATTAAACCCCTTCTCCACCTTTTCAAACAGTCCCCTGTGGTCTAAATGAAACATCTGTGCTGTGCTTTGGTCAAAATATAACATGAATCAAGCACCAGAGGAGGTTTGTGACCCTGTATAAACCAGCTCTCTCAGAACGCTCCGTTTTCGTGTGTGTGTCTCTTTAAATATAATGAGCCCCCCCCCCCTGAGTTTTCCAGGTAGACGTCAATCCTCTGTAGAGAGAATAAAATGGCGGACCTGCACAAAAGTTTTGCTCTAGGCTGGAGGTGGAGTCCATGGGTGGAGATACCAGAGGAGGTAAGGGGATTTTTTTTACCAGATTCCCACTTTGATGTCACAAGGAGAGTGAATAATGGAGCATTTTTCTCTGTGTTGTAAGACTTATGCAGACCACAAACAAAAGGACTGGATGGGTTTATTTCACATTTTGTGGGTCAGCAGACACTCAGGTTACCCAAATATATGTTCAAAAACACTGTAAAGGTGGATTTTTCATAATATGTCCCCTTTAAAACACATGAGCCAAAGAAATGTTTAAGTTTGTTTTCCAACGGCAGGGCTGTGTACAGATATATATATTTATATTCATTGCAGCTTTTTGTTTGAATTGTTGTTTAGGTTTTTTACTTTGTATTTTCGAATCTGCATTGCTCCTGAATTTGCAGAATTTTTCTCGTGCATTTTTTGCTGGGAAATTTTTACCAACAGTTGCATGAAGCCAACATCTGAAATGTTTCTAAGTGTCGTTTCCATTTAATTGTGATTATATCATTGCACTAGTCAGGAGATACTTGGCTGAATTAATATTCCAAAAGAGGAACTAAATGTTTGAGAATAACTGAGCTAGTGACCTATGTGGAGGTTGTTGCCGATCTTGAGCAAGAAGTGTCAAACACGCAACACTTTTAAACAAGTCTTTGTAAGGACATCAATAAAACTCCTCTGTGCTAACACACACACACACACAGAAAAGCACAGATGGAGGGTGTTTGAAATCCACAGTGACACACCATGCTTCACATTATTACCTCAGTGGGAGTAGGAGAAATCAGCTGGGGGGACTGCAAACGAAGAGGGGGAGAAAGCTTATGATTAGGATGAACTCATATGAGAGCTTATATGAGTCAACCATCCAACCATCAGGGTGATCCTGAAACGTCTGTGAGTCATGATGACGTCCGCTGTGAGGACGTTCCTGATGAATGGATGAGCTGAATGAAGTGGATCCAAAGTAAACTCACACACTCAAAAGAGAGAGATGAGGCAATGACTGAACCGCAGAGGAATGGAGCAAACATGGTGATGAGGAATGACTGTGATTGATTTCACCGTCAGGGTGAGGGACAGTGATGGAGGGTGAGTATGGTGGGAAAAAAAAAAGGAAGACTCCAACAGGACGTCTACTCAGTCTGAGGTTTCATTTGTGTGAGAAAAACAATGAAACCTTATATTCAACTCAAATCATCTGTTCATAGATCACATCTTAATGACTGATGCTTTCACATCTTCCAGCAGATTAAAAAAAACACCTTGATGACCAAACCAGCTGCTACTTTTAAAGTATCCTCTCTGTGATAATGCTGCACAACGTTTTTTGATGTTCAGACAAAAAGATTTCATTCATTGTAACAAACTTTTTTCATATACCGTTTGTCCTGTCCATGTGAAAAAGGTTTTATGGAGTTTATCAAGACAGTTAAAGGAAGGATGGGGATTCAGTCTATCCTGTGTAAATGTCTCTCTGAGTCATGACTGTCTACAATGAGTGAGAAGCTTGAGTCCCACTGGCTGTGTTGTTGTCAGAGCCGTGTTTACATTCACGTTCAGGAGCACGTTAATCCTCCTGATCCAGGACCTGCTCATCCACCCAAACAGTTTCTAAAGATCCGTCAGGTCTGCCTTTGGTCGCTAACTCACATTTTGTTACGACAAATGAACCACACCAGAGTCCAGGGAAAAAACGGACAGAGACCCACTTTTTCAAACAGTCTCCTGTTTGTTTGGTCAACACCAGGGTTTGATTGACAGCTTTCCAACCAGCTCAAACAAACCGTACTAACTAACTCGAGTTAATTTGAACTGACTCTGACAGGTTAAGTCAGTATATGTTTGTAGTTACTTTATATAACGATGTGATAGTTGAGTTTAGAGAGAATAAGTGGAAGACAAAGAGCAGGTACCTCTCCGTAGTGCCTCTCCTCAGACGGGTAGCTGACGTACGGAGAGTAGGACAGCATGTCAGGTCTGTCAATGTTGTAGATGGCCTTAGTCTTTGGAAGAGCTGCCAGGTCCTTGTAGTCCAGCATCTCCTCTCCAAGCTTGGCCTGAAGGCATAGGGAAGAGTAGAACAATGAATCCATTACAAGGGGAGGAAGAAACTACTGCCAATGCTGCCCCCTGGTGGTGTGTAGAGGTGGTGCAGGCTTACATAGATGACTCTGCTGGGGGAGCCCGAGGCGCTGGAGGCTGGGACTGAAGTGATGCTCTCGGATGAAGTCCTGGTCACCTGAAACACACACAACACAGTCACACATGAGTAAGTAACTATGAAGGATGATAACAGAGAGAGCGTTCAGATATATAGAAGCTCATTCTTAATGTAAAGACAATTCTTCCTCATTCTTTATGCTACCAAATGTAACTTTCTATGAATCATTTCCTCAACAAGTTTTAACCATAGACTGTTTATAAACATGGACAGAGTCTAAGTGATGTCACCCATCTGTGACTACTGGGGCTTTTCCAGGCTGTATAAATGTTAAATTCTGAGAGTTTGTTAAAGTGAAATGAGACATTCAAAGCAGGGTCCTTCTTTTACATCACTGAGACTACAGGGAGACACTGAGGACGACTACCTACGGTGAGCCTAAAGGGACAAAATAACATGAGATTTATCGCCATTAAAAAAAAGAATGCAATAATTTTGGACCTTATTTCAGCGCGATTAACTACATAATGCTGACAGCTCTAATCTTAACAGCAAGTATCAAACAGACGCACGATGGTGCATTAGTGAAGCTGCTGGACGGCCGTCATCAGGACCAATCACAGTCATTGTTACAGTAAAGCGCACAAGTTGAACACAGAGAAGAGACATATTACCCCTTCAGAGACGTAAGGTGTCGATGTCAACTCTTCTTATAAAGTTACGTTCAGACCAAACGTTTGACTGCAGGATCATTTTTGTGGAGGATTTATTCTCCCTTCCAAAAAGGAGGATTGGATTTAATGACACTGTAAAAAGTGACGCCAAATTTGGTCTGAACATGTGTTTAAAGTTTGACATTTATCATCTGAAACGACACTCAGCCATGTCCTCTCTGTTTCTCAAGTTGTGTGATTGTTATTCTCTACAGCTGCGGATTTTTAAAACACATCATTCGTCTTAAGTTGTACGTCAAAGCGTCCTTCACATGCACCAACTGATGATCCACGTCATCAGTCACTGACCAATCCAAACTCTCTCTACTGCTGCTGCTGCTACATCTAAAGCGTTAATAGTAGTATGGTGTGAGCGGCTATGATCAACCCCATGCAGCAGATGGTTGTCAGGAGGTTTGCAGGGGGGGTTGCAGGGGACGTTCAGGAGCACCAACCTGCTGCTCAGGGACGTCATTGAGCTGTATCCGGACCTGCTTCTGGGGAGGAGACGGGTTATGATGAGGAATGAGGAGGGAGACTGAGGTCGGGTGGATACTGGATGTAAAGCTGCAGGGCTGATGATGCATTGTTAAAGCTTGCTATTTAAAAAGTGTCCATTAAAACCTGCCTTCATCTTTGCCCGGTTGATTAAGAAACCTATAATACATGAGTTTTTCCCAAATGATACCCCATCACTCTAGGGTCTGATTTAAATCTATTTGTGCTCTCACTGTAAGATATGTGACACAATAAGCTCAAACATCTTCTCTCTGTTTTTAAACAGATTTTCACTCGAAGGTCGGCCCCACCCACCTTGCTCTTCTCCTCCTGTTTGGCTGCTTGTCTGCATGGAGGATGCCAGATAGAAGATCCTGAAGACACGGAGACAAAAAAAAAAAAAACAGGAGAGGTCTTAAATTGTTTGTTTACTAGCAGTTTTCAGTTCTGCTGAGAGTCACACTGGTGAGCTAACCAATCCAAACTGGAATATTTCATTGAAGTCAATCCAATGGGGTCAATCATGAGGTAAACGCAGGCTGTCCTAAGACATTTTCAGGAGTGGGTGTGTGAAAGCAGCTTTAGCCTATAAATGATGCGTTTACACTCTGCTGCTCCAGCCTGCTGCGTTAGCTCGTATTTTCTTTTATCAGACGTTGTGCAGAGAGATGGATTTAAACAACACACTGATTTGAAAACAAATGTTCATTACAGATTTGCATTAAACTGCTGACATCTGCAGAAGATACGCTAACAGAACTTCCCTCTAAATGATGCCTATGGTTTCACAACACTAATCACTCAATCCAGTGACGAGAAGCCGTTCAATTAGAACGCCAACAAACGCTGCATCAAAGCGCCAGCTGTTGCTCGGTGCTGCAGCAGCAGTAAATAATATCTCTCCCGAGTGTGGCAGAGTGACTCAGGCACAAGTGTTCATGATTCATTCACCAAAGCTGCACACCCAGTTCATTAGGAATAAAAGGATCCACAATGCATCAGGGTTTGTGGCGCAGGAGGCATGAAGGCAGGGCTTGAGAGGGTAATAACAGGGGGATGAAAGAGTTAGAAGAGAGAAGAAGGGAGCAATATATATTATGTTTCTCTTTTGCTTCTTACAATAGAAAGTGATGTGTTTGAGGAACTCATCTGTCATGGTCAGGCAGACACAGCTGCAGTTCTTTGCTTTAAATCTGCAGGTACACTTTAGAGGGGTCAACACACCAAGAATCAGGCAGATTCTGGGTCCGATTTCCCCTTCTTCTGACAAAAGTAAGCAAAGTCACAATTTGTTTCTATGATTCTTAACTTTATCTTTTCAGGTTTTGCTGCGGTGTGAGGTGTGTGAAGAGCGATCCAATCTGCTCGGAGGACCCCAAAATCAGCCCTTACCTTGCAAGTACATTTCCTCTCCCTCTGCAAACATCTGCTCACAGCGGGCACAGCGGGCGCACGTTGGGTGGTAGTGCTTCTCTCCAGCCTGGTGAGCAGGAAACACAAACTGGTTACCACTTCGTCACAATTGTTGTTAATATGGTCTCTTAATTGGAATTGATCACGCTATTCATTACTGCATTACAATAAAGTTGTCAGGAGACACAGCAGGAAAGAAAAGAGGTATAATTTAGTACTAGTGTATTCATTCTAATGGAGATAAACCCTTTAATACATATGGAATAAAAAAAAGATGCGCAGAGGATATCAAAGAAACAAGGAAACACTTAAAGTACATTTCACAGCTGAGCGCCCCGAGACATTAAGGCGAGAAAAATGTTTCACCTGATCACTCAGAGTTCATCATGCTGAAGGGAAATCAGCAACACTCAGTCATTAAGCTCAACACTCCAACCACAAAATGATTCAAACACATAAATGATGCATGTCTGTTTGTCTGAAGCTTCACATCATAGTTTATTTAAAATGCTACAGCAGCAGGAGCAACACGTCCCGGGAGTGTTGCTAAGCTAACAGTAATTCAGTCCAATTAGCATTGAAGTGCCACCAGTTACAGAGAAGACAGAAGAGGTTGTGTTTGACATTTTATCCACAAGGTGGAGCACTTGTGTTGAGTATAAGGCCCGCCTGCAGACAGCATGGAGCTCAGACACGCACACTGTACACACATTTACATCAGACGGACCAGATGCATAGTTTGAGTGTTTTAGCACACATGCTAATTGTCAACACTTGTCCACATGAGGCTTTGAGAGAAACTTCACATATAAACTTGTTGACAAGTTGACACAAGATACATATTCAAAGCAACAGAAGCCCTCGGGACATGCATGAAACTGTTTTTTGACTGCCATTTTCTTTGTTTTCTCAAGATCTCCGTCTTTTTGTCTCGTTATCTCAGGATACTAACGCTGTTTTTTTCCTGTGATAAGTTTATTTGGCCGTTTTTGCAAGACCTCGAGAAATGTCTGTGTAGGTTCTCAGTCATCCAGGTCATGGTCAATTTGAAGCTTGATTCAAAGGCAACTAGGTTGAAGATCTTGAAACTTGAAACTTCAACCAGTTGCCTTTGGATCAAGCATAGAATCTCGAGAAATTCACTCAGTGTATCTCGGAGAAAAGGGAGTTCAGTAAAATGTCCTGATGAATGTCCGCTAAGGGCTTCTGTACAAAAAACAGCATCAGCAAAAAATAAATGATTCCTTCAACCTGAATTCAAACTGTGCAAAACTGAACCTTAGAACTGCCTCTACACACTGAAAGAATTTGTCTGCATTGGCTGACCTTTATCACAACCTTCTGTGGTTAGCATGAAGTTTCTCTCACACAGTTTGAGAGATAGAAGCTAACAGTGCTTGAGTAAGAAGCCGCAGTGCCGTGTTCAGGGAGCTGCCGTCATGCTTTAGATGGATGTGTCTGTGAAAGTTCTTTGAAGATAAAGTGTGGATTGTTTCATGGCTTTCGAAACCACAGAGGTAGAGGGATTTACAGTAAAGGTCGAAATGGGACCAGGGATTGAAGATGATCCAGGTCATAAAATGTAGTGTGTTGTTTTCTGTATTCTTGCTCTTCTCTTGGTTTGAGTCCATTTTTTCCACTTTCTGTCTTCTGGTGGTTAGAGGGAGAGATGTTGAGTGTGACGGCTTATTGCATGGCTGACCCGGCACGGCTCACCCGGAGTTAGTTTGCGCTTCATATTTTGAGAAATAATTTGAGGGTTAAATTAATTGAAGCTTCTGGGCTAATTGTTTAAACCATGTGTGGCATCCATTGCCCCCACTCTGATCCTTACTGGGATCTTTCGTTAGGGAAACCATATCGACCTTCTTCATTTAAATACCATTAAGTTTGCTCAAGTGCCGCTTTTTTGTCTTGTATTTTGTTTTGACAACCAAAAGCATGGCTGGAATCTAGCTGAATTATCTCACTCTGCGGGCAGATTGTTTTTAGAGAATGTGGGATTTATGGACTAGATGAATAAAGTAGATGGATTCTTTCTGCGATAAAGTCGTTCTTTTTCTCTTCTTGCAAAACAGCCATCTGGTGTCTGCTGATCTCTGCTTCCCAGAGGCATCCCGTGTTGCTTTAACAGCGGCCTGATTACGTACAACTCCTCGGGGGTCTCTGCACTTTGCTGCGTCATCTCGATATGGAACCATAACAGAAAAAAACAGGACGTCGACACCCTGTTTCTTCTTAAACACCCTGCTTGATTTTTCTCTGGAAAGAATCAAGAGCAGATGGAGAGAGAGGGGAAACAACCCGAGATGTGTAGAAGGGACCAAACATTAGCTCCAAGAGAAAAAAGAAAGTCAAGTGCCTCAAACTGTCAGCGTGTTTCAGACGCCATGCCAAAAGCTCATACCTGACCCGAAGTGAAACAGATAAAAAGACGGAGACATGGAGAAATAGGAAGTTGACTTAGAAACACAGAAGCCAAAAGATAAAAGCTTGAGAGGGGCCGGAAAGAAGATAGCACCGCAATCAAATCATTCCTTTGTCAGAATCCAAGGCTGTGAGGGGGGGGGGGGGGGAATTATCATATTCAATGTCCTGTACGAACGATAAGTCAGGGAAGAGGAGGGGCGGGCTTCAAGAAGATGATTGGATGTTTTTCGGGAATTGGGTTGAGGTTTGCGGCTCAGACTCCCACTGAGTTTTAGAAACAGAGGTAGTTAAAAAAAATCAGAGAAATGAAGACGGTCGAGTTGTGAAAGGGCAGGTGAGGTTGCAAAGAGCTGCATAGCCTTTTTTGACCTCCATCTGCTTTCTTCTAATTATCCTCTAATGCCCCGACCATCCCCTCATCTCATAGTTGCAAAAAAAAAAAAAAAAAAACAGCTACGTGAGATTGGAATGGAGTTTGGTTCACCATGCATTTATCAAGAGAAAAAGTGATGGCTTACAATTTCTTTCTTGGAGCCAACTGTGCCAACGTTAAACTCTGATTGGAACATTTTCACATGTATGATACATGCCTGTGACCCCACCTTCCAACAGAGGACACAACAGAAATGAAATCTACAGCTTAAGCAGATCATGTCCTGAATATGCTCAAACTCAATGCTCAGTTTGGTACTCTGCTGTATGTGTGGCACCTCGATGATGTTTTATAGAGTGCTGAGTCATTCCTAACAATGTTGTTGAGCCACAGTTTGTCAATTACACTCGAACAAAGAAATAAATTTCCTGTTATAAGTACAAAAAGTGAAGCTGATGCTTAAACTGAAGAGTGACGTATGATTTTATTCAGGGTTCAAAGTCGTATGTTGTCCTTGCACACTGTCGTGATGACAGCTTCAAATGGAGTGTTTCTCCAGGCTTTTTGTCCTTGGTTTCTAAACCCTGTTAACTCAGATCTGAAGGAAGCTTGGAGGGCATGGGGCGGGGGCATTGATAGTTTTACACCTCTAGCACGGCTAACCCAAGGACAAGATTAACCACCCAGGTCAACAGGGACTTTTACAGATCATTATATTTGTCTAGGAGCAATATAGCTAAATCACCCTGGGAGTCAACATAACTTTTTGCTACACATCATACATCTTATCATACACAAATTTTACATCTGGGCAGAGAACAATTATTTGTGGCGTTCCCCAAGGCTCCATCCTGGGGCCTCTTCAGTTTAACATCTACATGCTCCCACTGGCTCAGGTTATAGAAAACATCAAAATAAGTTATCATAACTACGCAGATAAAACATAGATATACATTTCAATGCTTCCTAGGCGACCATGGACCCATAGAAGCACTGGGAAGAAGCACTGAACAAATCAATGACTGGATACGCTGTTGGTTGTCAGCAGAGGGCCTGACAACCAACAGCACCCACTCACACTATTTGAGTGACAAGTGGTCCCTGTAAAGAGCGATAAATAAACACCACAGCGACGAGAGGAGATAAAGGCGCACATTACATTTCAGCCGCCACCACCGCTGCCAGCTCTTGTTATTCACTCGATACGTCCCCACAAAACCGACGCTTTGATCTCAACCAAATGTCATGACATTTTGAATGCTCGGTCTCTCTGTCACGGTTTCAAAGTGCAGCACAGCACAGGTGGAGTGTCTGTGTATGGTGCTTAAACTAATACACTGTGACAGCTCTGTGAGCTGGCATTTGATTTAATAATGAAAAGGATGCCAGGGCTCTTGGTCATTATTTACAGCTCATGACACAATCTCTCAGAAGATTTACATTACAGAAGGTTTGTTACAATGCTGCTTTTATTAGTTTGCATGCAATATATTCTTTTATATCATGCAAGACTGAATGAGATTTTTTTTTGTGATTTGAAAAGTGGGCCCAAAAATGTGACCATCAGAGGTCAACATGACGAACAGGAAGCAAATATTTCTGGACTTGCGTCAGCTGTGAAACAGCAACAGCAACTTAATGCACCTCTGAAAATAACTCGTACTTCAGTCCCCTCAGCTTGTGCATGAAGAAATCATCCCCAGTTAATGATTGAAGCAGCATGTCCATGTGTTCAGAGTTTCATTGGCTACAAGAAATGTGCATAAAAAGAAACATAAAAATGTGCATAACTTTATATTAAAAAAACAAACATCTTGACTTGCCCTTTCACTAACCCCTCGTCTAATCCCTCCTTCTTTTGTATTCAGAAATGAGGTCATGAAAGGAGAGCAGAAGTCGGTAAAACTCGCCTGAAGCAAACAAACACAAGACCGCTCGGCCCCTCCCTACTCTGTACACACACAGGACCAAAACACAAACACACACCTTACAGCTATGGGGGGCTTTTAGTCCTGCTTCACTGAATTTCTCCTGAAACTACGGGACAAAATATTCAGGTATACACCCGATGACCTGATGTGAACCTGCAGGAATGGAAGGGAAACATCCGATTTCCGTCGAGCTGTTCTGCACACTGTGGAACCCGATAGGTGTTTATAAGAGGAGTGAATGTGAGAGGTGTCGTGATGAAAGAAAAGAGTGAAAGTGAGAGAGAGAGAGAGAGAGAGAGAGAGAGAGGGATTATTGTTTGTCCTGATAATGCTGCTCTGTTGCTCTGAGGTCACGACGGTGCCTTCCAAGACCCCATTTTCTAAAAAATCTTCTCTCCTCTCTTCCTCCCGCTCGGCGCCCTAGGAGAGTATCCCGTGTCCCATCCCTCCATCTCTGCAGAACAACGGAGCGCTTCACGAGAGCCACATTCCTCTGCTCTGGATTTCTACCTGCCTCTCCAACTATACTGCATATTCCTCCACACCAGTAGAAAAACTTCATTTAAATGATCCTGCTTTTCACAGGGCGTTGTACCTTAGAAATCAATCTTTTGGCATAAAGTCATGATTTCAATAATTATTTGTAATGTGCCAATTCATATCTGGAGACATTTCTTTGCCGCTGAAGTGGAGGTCGGAGTAGGCCGTGTATGAATGAGGACAGCGGTGGTTGTGGGGACGACACAATCCGATGGTGGAGGCTGGGCGTCAGGGACGTCGGGTGGTAGTAGTGCCAGACCACCTCGCTGTAATCTGGCACTCTTTGGAAACAGTCTGTTGTAATCTCCAGTGAGAGACAGCAGTTAAAACTCTACAGTGTTCTTGAAGTGAGCCAATTTAGCAGTTACTCACATTGAACAGAATTTTTCCTCTGACGGTGAGAAGTCAGCCGAGGTCGTCATGAATCAGCGCAGCACCTGACTGAGTTTTTCTGCCTCGTCACTGTCGGAGTCTGCTGGCACTCGTAACTCAGAAGTCTTTAAACACTTTCACTTTCCCAAACTGTGATCTGTTAAAGTTAACTTCAAGCTCCATCTTCATTGTTGCACATTTTCTTCTGTAAGAGTGTACAGTTTCTGCATCTTTGAGCCTCTTTTTCCCCCACTTTCCTCAAATTAAACAGACTTCTTTTTGCAGATTGAATCAAAATCAAGTCTTTAACACAGCCATGTAGTGCTGAAGTCAAGACCTCACTAACCAAGACCAAGACATACCTGAGACCAGAGTGCTCCGAGACCGAGATAAGACCAAGACAGAGAGAAACAGAGATAAGAGCAAGATTTTAGGGATCGAGACTGAGTCAAGACAAAGACCATAAATATCATCTTGTGTGCAGGGGGCGTGTCACTCACTTAGACCGTAACACCGGACGTATCCCGGGGATAAAAATCAAATTCTGATCCTGGATTTAAAATCCAGAGTCTGCCCAGTCTCAGACCGAGAAAAGCCAGAGCAAGAAAGCTTTTGATTCCGAGACAAACCTTGAGACCTGTCTCGAGACCCAAGACCGTTTTCGAGTACTAAAGGACTGCATCAATGTACTATACCCTCTGTTAACACCCTCAACAGCACACTCCAGAATGCGGTCCTCAGGGCCTCGAGTCACTCCACCTTTTTAGTCCTTAGTTTAGTATTTAGATTTTTAGTCCTGTGAGGATGTCTGACAGTTTAAGATCTCGTTGTCTAGGTTGGTGTAAGATACCAGCATGACTTTTTAACCTAACTAGATGCTTTCTGAAATGACTTGGCAGCAGATAATGTATATGCACAGGAAAGATCTCTCTGTCTATACATCTCTGAATGTACTTTTGATACGGCACACAAATGGAATCAGGTTATAAGCAAACACACGACCCACGACTGCAGAGGATGAAGTGTTTTAAAAAAAGGTAGAGAAGGCTGTGTGGGTTTAAGGAACCTGTGAGCGAAGAACAGAGAACATTCAACCTTCCCGAGGCCGAGAGGAGGGAATTGAACAAAAAGAGGCAACATGTGAGTGTGCAGAAGATAGTGAGGTCAAAGCCATTAGCCCACAGCCTGAAGACAGAGATAGTGCTGATATCTGGGTGCTTCGTTAGTCCCTGTGGACCAGCACACAGCAGGCTGCAGAGAGACTCATCACAGAGCTCTCATTTTGGATCTCTCATGATAATAAAGCTGAACAGATTGAGTGAAAAGAGGCTGTTTCCAGGACAAGGAGCATTCCTCATGTTTCTGCACTCGCAGTGTAAAAGAACTGATACATTTTTTAATGATCGCTCCGGGAAAGTGGGGTCAACTTTGGGATCTGTTTGACAACTAAACTCATAGACAGAACAACAATATTACCTCCAAAACTTTTCCAGTGATGTACTTCTTGCAGCTCTCACACTGGATGCCGAACATGGCGTGGTAGTCCATCTCACAGAAGGGGATCCCATCCCTGATTGGACGACACAGAATGAGTCAGCATAACAGAGATGAGGACAGAACTCTTGCACAATCTGAGGAGTTAAAAGTGTAAGGCTGTCAGCATTAACGTGTTCATGAGTAAACTCGACCAAGAGGGGGCTCTCATTCTAAACAAAATCAAAAGAAGGCGTTGAGGCTGGCGGGGAATCATGGGAGTGATTCTCTCTGCTACTCCACTCCAATTCTACACAGTACAAGCTTGCTATTTTGTAGACGAGCCACCGCAGCGTCTCCCTGTAGCCGCAGTGATGGAAAAGAAAGAGCCCGCTGCGCCTTTGAATATCTCATTTCCTTAAAAAAAACTCCCAGTCAAATCAAAAACAATATCCAGCTCATGACATCAAACATTACATTTGTTTTACCTTTCTCTTCAACAGTTATTTACCTTTCCATCCGTTACAAGTTCCTTTGCACCTGCAGTTAAGTTAATGTCACAACTTTCAAGCTAGTATCAAATCATTTTCTTCCGCTTAACCAAGACTATCTAGCAGAAATTCCATAATTTCAAAATAAAATTATCCAAAGTATCCAAAGTAAAGTCCCCTTAGCTAAAGAGAGTACAAACATTCAATGTAAAATAAAAAAAAACGGTGTTTAAATGCAAAAGAATGGAATTCCAAACATGCCATTAAAAATGAGATTAAACGCCATTAACTATTGAAATTCAGCAATAAATCGAAAGTGAAAAATGAAGTCGTTTGAGGGCCCTGGTTCACTGATAACACTTCAGAACACAGCAGAGAAACCCTCTGCCATCAGTGTTTATGGTCTCTGTCTTACAGTGGATGAAAGCGACATAATTCTGATGTCTGACATTCGGGCTTTTAAGATCTCCAGTCATGATTTGTTGAGTGTTATGAAGGTTTATTTAGCAGCTGATAACTCCTTACATTGCAGCTCCTGTCACCATAGAGGAAACATGACATGAATATGAATGCAGCACTTTATTCCCGAACCCAGTCGGACTCACTTGCTGATGTACTCGGCATTGAGCACCTTGTTGCAGACTTTGCATTTAAAGCAGCCCAGGTGCCAGTGTTTGTCCAGCGCCACCAGAGACTGCTCGTTCTTGAACTCCTTCCCACAGCCGCAGCAGTCTGCAGAGCACAAAGACAAGAAGAGGAACGTCATGAGAAATGATGTGAACGTGAACCTCCAGGGGTGAGGAGGAGTTCTCTCTGCATTACCATTTAATAAAAGTAGTAAAAAAGAACCGTCTGGTTTTCAGTGAGGGGCATGACTTCAGATAATTTAAGAAAGTGCAGATTTAAGGGTGGGGGCAGAAAATATAATGAGCAGTGGTACAAATCAAAGCTAGCAGGGTGCATGATTTATCCTTTGGACAGACATAAATATAGTACTGACTGTGCACAGCCTGAATGGGTGCAGGGCTGTTGGCAGGCAGAGGCTGGGTACACTTTTGGCAGATACACTCCTTCCCGTTAAATGTCACTCGGTCGCCGGCTGGAAACGGCTGTCTGCAAACAAACAAAGAGAGGAGACAGAACAACAGAATGATGTTACATATCTAGTGTTTGCCTCTAAAACAAGACTTATACCGTCAGTGGACAGATCTGTTTCTATGTGGGCCAGCAGGAGTGAGGACAGAAAGATCGTCTCAAAAGCTCTTACCACATGATGATCATGACGCAGGAACATGCAGGGGAAATGTACAAAACAGTGGCGACTGTTACCAAGGTGATGAGTCTTAATCTTCAGGAAAAGCACATTTAACGAGGGTCTCTATATCTTCAGAGTAATTCTGAGGGGAAAATTTGGCGGTTTGTGTTCACACATGCAGCTCCTCCAGGAAATATCAGGAGTTTTCTGCAAGTCATTCTGCAAGTAATTTATTTACATATAATGTTAAGAAATGGTTTATTGAGAACAAACAATGTCAACACTGATGCTGTACCTACCAATGCTTACTTTAACTGTATCGTGTCACATGATTATTTTGCTCTCTTTACACAAATTAAATCGTATATATCTGGTGTTTTTAAAGAACGTTTGTGAATGGGTTCGAAGCTTGATGCAAAGACAACTTGAAGATCTTTGAAGACGTTTCACCTCTCCTCCTCTGAAACACTTCTTCACTTCTGAACTAGCAGGTGGATGGAGCCAGAAATGTAAGCCTCTGTGTTCCAGCTCCGACGTTTAGAGGATTTAAATGACTACCAATTTGGAAAAGACGCAAAGCACGGAAAACCCAAAAAAGTCTTTAGTCGCGAACCTCTAAGTCCAGTAAAGCTAGCCACCGCTCTCAGAGGCTTTAATGAAGTGAGACGGCGGCCTCTGGGTTCAAAGACGGGAGATTTGTGAAATAAAACCTGCATGCAAGAGACTCTTAAGTGTAGAGAGACATAAACACACAAAGAAAGCCAGACAGTGGGAGTGAAAAACACGGCCAGATTACTCTTTAATTATTGATGATATATATATACAGCTCTGGGACTATGACACACACACACACACACACACACACACACACACACACACACACACACACACACATAGAGTAACGCACACATACACAGTCTCGTCTGAAGGAGTGTTTTCTCTCAGATCTATTTTTATATCGGGCACAAGGAGCCCGTGTGTTTTGCCACCACAAAAAAGATATTTGTTATAAGAGGATAAAAAATGAGCGGATGATCACATTACAAACCCAAAATGCCACACGGGAACATTCAGATCTCAGGTTCAGCGAAGGGATCACAGAGTTATGAACACACACATACACACACACACACACACACACACACACACACACACACACACACACACACACAGGAAACCCGCGCCCAGTTCAAAAGGCTGTTAACACTATCTGTGGGAGTGGGTTAAGTGGCTGCACTGACTGATCACGCACTTTGAATTCCTGCCTGAGAGAGGCTCCCATTACCTCCTGAAGCTGTTAGAAAACCCTGACCCCCTGAACTATGTTGGGTTTGTATCAAAAATGGCCGCTGCCAGCGCCAAAAAGCATCTGTAGGAGGTCAGTATTTGATGAAAAATGTTGCAGTTTGAAGCGAAGCAAACAAAACACGTCTGTGAAAGTAGTCGACAGGTATGTCTGACTGAAAGAGCAGACAACTCCTGAACAAACTGAATCCGACTTTGGACCCCGCAGCTCCCCGTTTCTTACTTGCAGGAGGCGCAGACGAAGCAGCGGGGGTGGTAGGTCTTGCCGAGGGCTGACACAACCTCCCCCTCAATGAAGTCCTGGCAGCTGAAGCAGCGAGTGCCGTACATCCGCTGGTAGTCCAGAGTACAGATGTAGTCACCCTGCCGCACGAAGAAGCCTCCCTGGGCCAGGTCCACACCACATACTGTAGAAGAGGAGGGGGGGGATGAGATGGGGAAGGGATGGGGAGGAAGAAGGAGGGATGGAAGAGGGGACAAAAAGAAGAGAGAAAGGATTAGACAAAGCTGATGTGTTTGCAGTTTCATTAGGAGCGTGTTAGCTCAATCCACAACAACACCTGGACACATCGTCTGAGAGCTGTCAGCGTGGCCACAGTCTCTTCCTCCTGTGCCGGTGTATAAACTCTGTGGCACATGTGCACCAACAGCCGTAGGTCGTGGTCGAATGGGAACACATGAGCGTCACATCTGCCCTGCGTAGTTGAGCGTCTACCTCAGGAATCATACCGAGCATATGTGTGTGATGTTGTCTAATTTTAAGATTCTGTTAAATGTGTTATAGCGCCTGAACACTGAGGGCATTGAATGATGTTCCTAAACCGTATGGAGGTCTCTTTTGAAAGCTAACACTCTGCAGTTTCAGAATGTGCTGAAATTATTTCAAAAATCTTTCAAATGTGTGTACTACCGTTGTGATTAGGACCTTCATCACAAGATTGCAATCTGTTTACAGGTAGATTCCTGCTTTAGGGATGCAGGTTATTGATTGAAGAAGCATATCCACGTGTTTCATTGGCTACAAGAAACACCAGTCATCGGCCCAGTCACATGCAATCGGGCGGGTGTAGCTACATCAGAACAGGGGCAGGCCCCTCTTCTCAACTCAGACTCTCATTGGTTATTACAGTCTGGGAACAGAGAATGGAAGGCCATAATTGGCCGAAGTAGGTGTTGATTATAAGGTCAGAGTTCGACTGCAGTCCTAAAAAGATCCTATTACAGAAAACATGGGGGGAAATCGGGAAAAGCTGTGGAAACTTGAAGCCATTAGTCGATCTTTCTGGATGTGATGTGGTTGGATTAAATCTTTCTCTGGATTTGGATCGAGGGGACTCGTGTCGATGCAGGAGGACTGTTTTGTTGGAATATAATGATTGAGAGAGTTAAGTAAATCTCAAAAGGAGAAGTCAAAAGACGGTTATAATAGTTTCTTTGTCGGTGGTCTGACAGAGCGTAGATTGTGGCTGCTGTGGATGTTGGATCTTGAAAAACGTTTACACGGTCTGAATCTAGAGATGAGTGATATTTATAAACAGCAGGTGAGTAAATAATCACATGACCACTTATCAGGAAAGTTTCGTTTTTTAAGCAGCGAACTCTAGTGCAATGAATCTCAACGGCAAGATTTATGTTAAATATTGAAAATGGATTCTTTACATATAAAAATGATCCATAAATGTCACCATGACTGAAGCCTGCATGACTGTGACTCCTGGGTGAACTTATAGTACGATACTGTTAGCAACACTTACATAAATAAACATCACACAGACCAATTCATAGACGATTGTTTGAGAAGTCGTAAAAAGAAGAGGAGGTTTTGGATTGAGCAGATCCAGTCTGACTCGTCTGAATGTTTTTCCAAACCTGCTTTAAGAGCAAATAAACTCACACTGTTTGTCTGTGTGTGTGTATAAAGACTGGACTGTGTCGATTTGTTCGGCTCTTAACAACACACGACAGGAACTCCAAATCACCCTCCACTCTCTATTACACACACACACACACACACACACACACACACACAATGATTACAGCGTAACCGTGGCAACAACATGACATCACTGACCAGCCACACCCTCTGGGGGGAAACTCGCTCTATTTTTCCACTCCTTTAGCAAAAACAATACCCCTCGTTCTCTTCCCTCCATTCTTTCTTTGTGAGGAAACAGCAGGAAAGATAAATGAGGGAATGTTTTCACTGGTCGGTGTTAAAAACCTGGGACTGCCCAGTGAACTTTCACACACACACACACGCACACACACACACACACACACACACACACACACACACACACACACACACACACATAATGTTTGAACTCGCAGCCGTATGTGAAAGTATGAGGTAAGACACATTGGTGTCATTTAGATGAGATCACACAGACATAACATATGCTTTCCGGACGAACACAGATACGTCCTTGAATATGAGAAGGTTTGAGGGGACATGTAGATGAAATCAAACACACCCTCAACATATACTGTAAGGATGCACACACACACACACACACACACACAATAGGCTAAAACACATTCTGCCCACTGAAACCAGTTACAAAAACCAGAGGGGTAAAACTTCAATATGCTTGACAGTCTGAAGTAGCTTAACATTGAGTAGCAACTAGCACAGCTCCAAATCCTAATCAGTGTATCCCAAGGGAATGCCAGCGGCAATCACTGCCACCAGACAAAAGTCTTTCAATCACAGATATTAAGAACTCCTCTTATTTTCAGAAAGCAAAAACAACTAACTCATGTCACTGTTGAGCTGTCGTCACCACACCACCCTGAGCTGTGAGGCACAGAAAATCCTGCTGCTGCAACCGCTGACTAACTGGTCAGCAGGCCAAGCTACAAAAAAAATATATTTACTGTCAATGCTAGTTTGGAAAACATACTTCACACTGATTGATTGTAATTTCTGTACTTGTTACGTCATCATGCCTCAATAAAAGCCAAATGAAAACCATTTACAACACAGTGTGGATCACATTTCAGCCGTTAAAAACTTTATTGGGTGGATATTTTCCAATGCTGCACCAAATCTGTCCTTTTACTTGAAAGGGAAGCACACATCCAACAACCTGTGCATGTAGCTTTTCTTTCTCAGAGGCAGTTTGTTGTTGTTAAGTTGTGTAACTGCTGAATGCACATTAGTTTAAGTTCATGCTTTCAGAGATTAGAGGAATTGAAAAGGGAGTGAGAACATCACGAGAAGCAAGGTTTACAGCATTGTCTTTTACGTTCATTTCCCATGAACTAAAAGTGAAACATCAACATTTTCACGATACAACTCTCCCAGCCTCTAATCCCCGTATTACAACTTTGACTGACATGTTGGACAACCTTTGTCTAGTCTTTGCACTGTTTCCCTTTTTTTTATCAAGCCCTCACAGGAGCTACAGCGCACTAATAAAACAACAAAAACAATACGAGGAGGAATGTTTTCTCAGGAAATGGACGCCGTACTTTCCAACGGCTGCTACCGGCTCTCTCACATCCGGTTCAGATGTCTGGCAACCTGTCCACTGTGAGATAATACTCTGGGATGATGAAGTAAACACCAGCAGAAGGAGAAAGCTTGATGGATGGATAACTGAGGTTCAGATGGTAGAGTCGGTCGTCTCTCAACAGGAAGGTAGAGGGTTCGATCCCCAGCTCCTGCAGCCACATGTCTAATGTGTCCTTCGGCAAGACACTTAACCCCCAGTTGCTCCTGCTGCTTTGTGGGCGGTGTATGAATGTGTATGAATGGGATAAGTCAATACTGATGGACTCTTTACTCAGCAGCCTCTACCATCAGTGTGTGAATGTGTAGGTGTGACCTGCAGTGTAAAAGAGCTTTGAGGAGTCAGAAGACTAGAAAAGAAATATGCAAGCTCAAGTCCATTTACCATGGATGGATGTATGGATGAATGGATGGATGGATGATGGATGAATGACGGATGGATTTATGGATGATGGATGGATGATGGATGGATGATGGATGGATGATGGATGATGGATGGATGATGGATGGATGATGTATGGATGTATGGATGTATGGATGGATGATGGATGGATGTATGGATGATGGATGGATGATGGATGGATGAATGGATGGATGGATGGATGGGTTGATGGTTGGGTGGATGGATGGATGTATGGATGGATGGATGGATGAATGGATGGATGTATGGATGGATGATGGATAGATGGATGGATGGGACACACACGTACACCAGAAGAAGGAAGGATTTCCGAGTGCTGTTTCTTTGACAGTTTCAAAGTTAAAATCAGAAAAAAGGTTTTCCGATACTTGAGACTAGACTTGACTTGTTTTGGAGAACTTGAGAATTACTTCAGTGGTTCCTTAAAATAAGAAAACAAACATCTCCGTTTCCTAGAAAGTGACACAGAGACCTGGAAGAGATGCAGACGGGAATCCTCGCCCAGACGCCTGAGTACACGTTACTGTCAGCTCGTTTTACAATCCCTGAATATTTATACCTGTGCTTCCAGTTTGCACTTAAGACTCCCCTTCTTACTGTATTATAACTCAGTTGCTTAAGCAGCTGAGCAGCAGAGCCCATATGAGCTCATTCATCATTTATGGAGCTTTACACAGCCAGAAAGCATAACACCCTTTTTAGCAGTGAGAGCAGCAAACAGAAGCATTTTATGCTATTCGTTCATCTGCAGTACAACAACAATGTGCAAAGACTGCAGAGGAAGACAAAGTTACTGGAACACTAACACGTTATACAGATCAACGAGTGAGAGTCTGAGTGCAGGAGGAAGACAAAAGATGCTCTTTTAGTTGTATTCATCAGTGCTAATGGAATCGCCAAAGCTGCTTCCTCTCATCCCTTCGTTCCACAGACATTTTCACATATGCACTCCTGAAAATGTCTAGAACTAAAACTACAGCAATCTGTGTTGTTTTCTTGTATGTTTATATGTTTAGGGGACACACATAGTGAAGCCATGCTACAATCAACAGCAAAACATATGAAATACCTTTAGTGGTTACAGAGAACTGTTTGATCCTCAGCCTTGAACCCTTCTCCAATTCAACTGAATGTTGTGCTCAAACAGAGATTTCATCATTTAGAAACCATCCCGTCTCTATGACAACAGAGGGTGTGTGTGTGTGTGTGTGTGTGTGCTCACTCTGCTCATGGGTTGGTGGATGAGATCACGATACAGCTAATTAGCCATTTTGTCCTGAGACATAGCTGTGGAGGACAGAATGTGTCAGGAAATACACCCCTGCAGGGAGATAAAACTTCCAGAGAGTTTGACCTTTTGAACTTCTGTGTGTGTGTGTGTGTGTGTGTGTGTGTGTGTGTGTGTGTGTGTGTGTGTGTGTGTGTGTGTGTGTGTGTGTGTGTGTGTGTGTGTGTGTGTGTGTGTGTGTGTG